TGTGGGGCCGTGCAATTACCCCGCGAAGCGGCGTGCATAACGTCGTGGAATTCGGTCCGCGTTGTCTCACCAGCCCCTTTCGGGCGTGAGTTGGTCTACAGAGGTTCCTCTTCAGTCCAACCCCTTTTCCCCTTCGGGGGGGGGATGAGGAGCACCCCCTTCGGGGGGGGGGGGGGGAGTGCCCTTCCCTTTACAAGAACCTCCAGGGTCTGGAGAGCGGGGGGGGGGGTCGCCGCGAGTCGTTGGAGCGTCCAGGATGGCCCGAGATGGCTCCAAGAGAGCCTCAGAGAGCACAGGATGACCTCCAAGATAGCTCAAGATAGTGCGACGTCGCTCGGGATGACTTCGAGCATGTTTCAAGAAGCCCAAGACCAAACCAACACGGGTCCAACTGCCCCCCCTCTCCCGATGCCTCGAAGAAGCCATAATACTTTCCAGACATCCAGCAGATCGATGTTGTTAGCCTCCTCGCCTGTTCGCTTCCGATGGGCTTCTGAAGTATCCGGATGACTCCAAGATGGCCAACCAGGGGCCCAAGGGGGGCCCAAGAGATCTGCAGGACGGCCCTAAGAGAGCCCAAGTGCGCTCCTATAGCGCCCCAAGACGCTCCAAGAGGCGCCTTTAAACAGGCTCCGAGATGGTGCCCAGAGAGCATCCAAGAAAACCCCCTAGAGCGCACCAAGATGGGCTCAAGAGGCGCCCCAAGAGGCCACAAGAGGCCCCAAAGAGGCCCCAAAGCGGCCCCCGCGACCGCCAAGAGACACCGCGGGTTTGGGAACCCCCCCCGGGGTTGTGGTCCCCCCTTCTGGGCTTGTGGAGCCCCCCTGGGGTTTGTGCTCCCTCCCCCGAGGTTGTGGAACCTCCCCCCCAGGAAGGTGTAAAACCCGCCGGCTTGTGGAATTTACCCTTGGGTTTGTGGAATCTCCCCGTGGGTTTGTGGAGCCCCTCACGTGGTTTGCAGCACCCCCCCTGGGGTTTGTGAAATCCCCCTCCGGGTTTGTGGACACCCCCCCCGGCCTCTGTGCTAGTGGATGCCCCGCGGGTCTGTGGAACTCCTTTGGGGGCTGCCGTTTCGGAGCACTGTAGGGCTGTCTTAGGGCCTTCTTGGGCAGCGTCGAGACTTTCTGCGGGGCCTGCTGGACCGTCTTGGGGTGGGGTTCGTTCCCCCCCATCGCCCCCCGAGGTTGTGGAACTCCCCCCACGGCATACGGACCCCCCCGCGGGTTTATGGAATTCGTCCTGGGGTTTGCGGAACTCCCCCCCCTGTTTGTGGAACCTCCCCGCGAGTTTGTGGGACCCCCCATGGGGTTTGCAGCACCCCTTTTTGGGGGTTTGTGGAATTCCCCCCGAGCTTGTGGACCCCCCCGCCCTCCATACTAGTGGATGCCCCGCGGCGAACCCTGCTGCTGGAGCCTTTGGTGGAGCCTGGAGCCTTTGGTGGAGGAGCCCCCTGCGGGGCCACGAGATATCTAGAGCGTGCCGAAATTCACCGGCTAACATAGGCCATCGTAATGAATAACCGCACGCTCTTAAAACAAATCGTTGAGAAAGCGATGATTCCTCAAAGCGGGAGCACGGATTGATTAGACTGCGCCGCCCCATCAAAACAAGACGAAACATCATTTAATAAACGCATACGCTGGTTTACCAAATTCAAAAACGGATGCTATAAATCCGGGGCCGTTGTTTTTAGTTGTTCTAAATCCCAGATCATCAGAGTTTTTCTAGTTGTTCTAGTTGTTCTAGTTGTTCTAGTTGTTTCTAGTTGTCTTTAGGTTTTCTAAATCCCAGTTCCCATCATTATTGTGACCCGAGTGTCTCGATCAGAAGTCGGCGGGGAGCCGCGGGCGAACCCTGCCGCTGGGGCCTTCGGTGGAGCTCCCCGCGGGGCCACGAGGCGTGCGGGTGGTGCGCCGAGCAGGCCGACGTGCGGAGGGGGGCAGAGGCAGGGAGGGGAAGGGGGGGAGGGGACGGGGACGAGCTAGGTGCGCCCGCGTCATATCGCGAAGGAGGGAAGGAGAAAGGGGAGGGAAGGGGGAAGGGAGGGAGGGAGAAGGAGGGAGGGGGGGGGAGGGGGAGGAGGCGGAGAGAAGGGAGGGAGGGAGGCGAGGGAGGAAGGAGAGGGGAGGAGGACAAGGTGCGCTCGCGTCATATCTGGCGTCCTACCCCTCCCTCCCATCCCCTATCATGGCGTAGATCTCCTCTCTGTTCGCACAGTCGGACGTCGAGCAGGGCAAGGATCGCGAGAGGGTGCGCGATGCATCGCAGAGCACGGAACAGCAGGACGCAGAAGAGCACGGCAGAGTGTAGCGCGCCATAGCATGACGCGGCGCTGCGCAGTCAAGAACTGCAGCACAACGCACTGCAGCGCAGAGAATGGCATCGCACAGCGGCACGGAGCACAGCACCGCACGGCACGTCATGGCATGGCGCCGGGTCACTTGGAGGGTAAGCGGATCGTCCTCGAGAGGTCTGGGCCGGTCTGGAGTCGTGGCTCCGTGTCTAGCTCTTTTGGGCTCCCCGAAGAGCTCCACACGAGGCGGGGCTGATGGAGAGAGCACCCGCTGCCTCTGCTCTCAACATCGCCTTCTCGGAGCGGAAACGGTGTTCCGGGTTGCTACTTCCTGGGAACAACGGCGCCCCAAAGTGGGGGGGGGGGGTTGCGGCCCCAAGAGTCGACGAATTGACACCGAACGTGTAATCTTTTCCGACGGTTTTTTCGGGGGAGCATTTTGTAGATTCTGGGGCATGGTATCGCACGGCGGAACACCGCATAGCATTGCAATGCATGCCGTGGCATGGCACTGGAAATAATGACGCCAGCGCTGCAGCGGGAGCACGATTCGGAACGAGCGGAAGCGCGGAAGTGAGGCCAGCGCTGCAGCGGGAGCACGATTCGGAACGAGCGGAAGCCCGAAAGTGAGGCCATCGCTTCAGCGGGAGCAGCATTTTGACAACAAAAACAGCGAAAACCCAATTTCTGGGAATCCTGTGCGTAAGAAACGGTACGTGGAGGGGGGCCAGATATCTTCCGGACGTCATCAGGGGAGAGAGGAGAGTAGCATTCATATGGTGTAATTGTGGAGGAGGAGGAGGAGGAGGAGGAGGAGGAGGGGGTGAGTGAAACGCGTGGCGCTGTCTCTCCACAACAAGGACCCAACTCCACAGGATGGTTGGAAAAAAACCGCATTGTGCTACAGTACAACATGCCATATTGTGCCACAGTGCACAATCTCATGCCGTGCGCCCGAGGTCTTGCCTCCATTGGGACTCGGTGTACCCAGACGGAGAACACTTACTTAACAACCAGGGTTCGCGCAATCAGCTAACCGATCGTGCGCTTGAACATTGCATTCAACAAGTGAGGCCCAATCGTCAGATCTGTTCACAGATTGAGAAAAGCACCCGCCCCCGCCGCCTCAAACCACCCCGCTCCCCCGCCCCCTCTGCCTGCGGAAATGTAGGAATACGGGCGCGAAATGTCGCGGCCGGTGCGGGGGAGCTGGACTGCGGGGTTTTTCGCGGCCGCCAGGAAAACTCAACAACATGCGTGGCGACTCAAGAAGAACCGTTATGGTTCGTCCAGGCTATGAGGCAGAGGCTTCCCGGGAAGGCTGGAAGAAGCCAACCTCATCAAGCTCCTTGTGAGAAGCTGTCAGAATCCACAGGAATCTTGAGGACACCTCAGGGATCCACACGAAACACCAGGAGTCCGAAGGAACCCTTCGGAACTCTCAGGAATTCCGAATGAACCAGGCAGGGATATTCAGGAATCCTTCTGCAGTCGGCACGAGTCCTTTGATAATATCCAGGAATCCTTGTTAGGATTTAGGAATCCTTTTAGGGATCCTTTAGGAATCCCCGTGGACCTTCGGGAACCCTCAAGACTTGTTGCAGAAACCTACAGGATCCCAAATTCCTCAGGGAGGAGGATGTGGGTGGGTACGTCTGCGGCCAGGAAGGTGCCCTGGTTGCTCCGTAGCTCGCGCTACATGCAGCGCGCCCCCCCGCCACGCGACTGCACGCGGCAAACGCTTTCCTGGCGAAGGACCCAACCATATGCAGTTGTGAATGCCGCGTTGTGGCGCCGCTTGCGGTAGAGCTCCCCATGGGGGAACCGCATGCGAACCTTGCTGTTGGAGCTTTCGGTGGAGCTCCTTGTTGGGTGACGAAACGTGTGATGGGTGTGCCGAAATGGAGGGGGAGGGAACCGCATGCGCACCTTGTCACCGGGGCCTTCGGTGGAGCTCCGTATGGGGCCACGGAAGCGAGGTGTGCGGACATGGGCGGGGAACCGCATGCGAGCATTGCCACTGAGGCCTTCGGTGGAGCTCTTATTCGGGGGCCACGAGACGTGTGAAAGGGATGTGCTGAAGTGGGCGGAGAACCGCATGCGAACCCTGCCACTGGAGCCTAAGATGGAGCTCCATATGGGGCCACGAAGCGTGTGAAGGGGTGTGCCGAAATAGGCGGGCGGGGAACCGCATGCGACCCATGCTACGGAAGCATTCGGTGGAGCTTCCCGTGGGGCGACGAAACGTGCGAAGGGGTGTGCCAAAATAGGCGGAGAGCCGCATGCGCACCTTGCCGCCGGGGCCTTCGGTGGAGCTCTCTTGGAAGCCACGAAACGTCTGGAGGGGTGTGCCGACATGGGCGGGGAACCGTATGCGAACCCTGCCAGTGGAGCCTTCGGTGGAGGCTCCCCGTGGGGCCACGAAACGTGCGAAGGGGTGTGCCGAAATTGACATGCGGAGGGCAGAGGCAAGGACGGGAGGAGGAGGAGGAGGAGGAGGAGGAGGAGGAGGAGGAGGAGGAGGAGGAGGAGAGGAAGAGGAGGAGGAGGAGGAGGAGGAGGAGGGGGAGGAGGAGGAGTAGGAGGAGGGAGTGAGACGCGGGGCGCTGTCTCTTCAAAACGAAGACCCTACTTCACAGGATGGTTGGGAAAAACAATTCGAGCACACGGGGCCAAAGACAACCAAACCCAAGACGGCGCAACAGCGCCCAAGACGGCCTAACCCAAGACAGCTCCGAACAGCCTCCGTAGCCATTTGGGCTCAAGAGTTCAGGCCAGTTTGGCTAAAGAGCATGTCTGACCAAGCTGCCACACGATGTGTTTCCTCGTGCTGGTCGCATCTCTGGGATGGCCGCTTGCGATGATGCCGGTAGCGGCTGAATCAGCATTCAAGACTACTTACAGCACCAGGGCGCTGCCCGATCTCTTCAGACGATTCGCGGAGAGCATGGATGTTCACTTCCCGCCTCCGCGAGACGCCGGGGACGATCCAGTCGTTGTCAAAGTCGGCATTACTTTTAATCACTTGGTGAGCATGACTCCGACGGAGGAAGCAGTAGAATTAAGTTCGTGGTACCACCTGTATTGGAATGATGAGCGTCTGGTCTACAATGGTTCTCAGGTTTTTGGAAGCGGGTGGAATTCCGAAGGCGACTACGTTGCAATGCCTCCACAAAAGATCTGGAAACCAGACATCGTGCCATACTACCCTGCAAGAGTAGACTCGGAGAGTACATCTGCGACCAATGTTTACGCCTACCTCTTCGGTTCCGAGTTTTTGAGGGCGAATGGGTACAATGTTCATTGGGTTCGTCCTGCGATTATTAATTTTCATTGCGACATTGACATGTCAATCTTTCCATGGGATAGTCATGTCTGTGCCTTGATCGTGGGGCCCTGGCATGCGAAGGCATCTAATCATCGTTTTCTGCATGGGAAAATGCTGGCCCACGGGGACGAAAGCAAATTGAGCTCCGAGGAGTGGGATGTTCAAGTTTTGAAGATCGAAGATGTGAAGAACGAGTACAACACTGGCGTGTACGAAGAAGTCCACTTTACGCTGGGCTTCAAACGATACCCCCATTACTTCATGGTGAATATTATTCTGCCGATGCTTCTGATCATGGTTGCGGCGAGCTTAACGCTTATGCTCCCTATCCAGGACGGGCCGGGGGAGAGAATGGCATTTGCTGCCACACTGTGCCTCACGATCATGGCGACAATGCTCTTCACAGCTCAACTACGGCCTGCGTCGAACACTGATACGTGGATGGACAGATTCCAGGGTTGGTGCCTCTTCTTCACTTTCCTACCACTGCTGGAGTCATGTATTGTCACACTGGTACAGCATGCGGAAGACATAATCAAATGGATCAACCGAAATTCACCAGGGTCAGCAGTACAAACCAGAGTCACAAGAGTCACCATCAGCATACAAGGGCATCTTGATCGTGGATTTGCAAGGCACCTCGATCACGGGTTTGCATATTTGTATCTACTCGCGCTCGCCATCGTCATGGGTTTCCTTTACTATGACGTGCCCCGGCGAGACATTTTGACGCTCACAAGCAGCGAGGCTGTGATGATTACTCCGTCAATCGCGACGATCGTCCCGCTCGTTTCATTTTTCCTTCTGGTCCTTGTCCTGAAAGCGGCGCGTCGCACCTGCAGAGCCGACAGGGGCCCTCAGGAGACTTTGGTAATCCAGGACATTCCAGAGTATGACGGAGGGGCGATAGAGTCCAGCTGCTCTTCTCCAAGGAAGGAGACACTCCCGAATAATCCCATTCTGAGCCGGACTTTGGGACGCCCTGTTGGTTGGAAGGTTAACAATCTAGGTGATGATGTTGAGCTGCACGACCACAGATGCTCCTTGTGATTCAAAGTGTAATCGCTTGCGCATTACAACATGGCCCTCGCAATGTGCTGCGTTCAAACGTTCCTGCGCCCTCTCCGGGCCAGGATGCGCACGGCGCAATGCTTCATCTCCTTTCCTACCTCCTTTTCCCGTCCTGGTCCCCTCCATTCTCTCGTTGGGCACGACTAATGTCCCGGCCGCACGAACGGAAGTCGGGGTTATGCCAGCCCGTCGGTCTTGCCCTCCTCCTCTTCTCTTCTCCTCGAAATCCTCCTCCTCCTCCTCCTCTGCCTCCCCCTCCCCACGTGTTGCTCCTTCTTCCCGCGGTGTATTTACTGGCAGCTCCTGCCGTGGAGTGCCCGCCTGATGTTCCTTCTTTGGTCAGGCTGCGCACCGATTCCGTAACAATCACAGCCCGGTGCTTCGGTTCTTTTATTCCCTCCTTTTTTTTGCTCGTCCCTCTGATCTCCATCATCTGCTTCCTTCTCTTAGCACGTCCTGTGGCGTACCGGCCCATGCGTTTACGATGCTGGGAGTGCGGGTCTCTTAGACCATTTTGTTTGACACCATCACGGTCTTTTTCTCCAAGCCACGGTTCTTCGTGCGGACTCGCTTACTGCAGGCTGGTCTTATCTTCGTTCCAGGGGGTGCTTGGAGCCGCCGTGCGCGGGTGTCTGGAATTGGTGCTGCCCAGTGCCAGGAAAAAAAGCTCCGAACAGCCTAGCTAAGCTAGAACGGCCTAAACCTAAATCGGCCCGACCTTCGGGACACCACTGGGGTCCCGACGAAGTCCCCAGAATCCTGGAAGGAACCCGTAGGAATCTGCAGGAATCCTGCCGGGACCTGGCAGGAATCTCCAGGAATCTCCATGCAATTCGGATCTCCATGGCTCTTCTGTATGAGTCCTTCAGGAAGCACCAGGGGTTTTCGGAAACCATCAGCAGTCTAGCGAAACCAGCACAGCAGTCCCAAAGCATGTACCCCTCAGACATCTTCCCGGGATCCTTTAAGAATCTTTCGCGAATCCAAAGGAATGCCAAGGACACCTCAGGAACCCCAGACGCACTTAGTTAATATCCCAAAAATCCTTCGCTATCCTTCAGGATTCCACAGAAGTCCTCAAGAACTCTCGGGGCTGCAAGGGCGACGCGGAACAACCCGGCACATTCTCGATTCCGTGCGCCCTGTTCTGAGCACCGTGCTCAAACAGGGCTCGGATGTAGAACGCGCTTGCTTGCGACCAGCGAACAAGGCGTTGAAGGGTGACACACACACACACGCATACCATCTTCTGGGGTGGGACCAGAGCGTAGAACGCAGTATGTTATTAGGCAGGAGGGAAAGAAACACACAGACACAATTAATCATCGATGTTCAAGAAAATATGGGAAAATATGGGAAGTGGGGGGGGAGACAGAAACCCAGAAAATATTTGAAAATATGGGGAATCCTGTAATTTGTTTGTACTTATTTTTGTGTCCTGGGGCTTCTTCAATTCGGCCCATCGTGGGGGTCGATTTGGGCCCCTGCGAGGGTCTCCGACGGGCCTCCTCGCCTCCGCCTCGCCTCCCCCCGCTCCCCCCCAGCGGGTCGCTGCGGGGGCTGTCGGTGGCCCGCCGGTGGCCCAGCTGCCAGTGGGCTGTCCGTGGTCCGTCAGTGAGTTGTCAGTGCTCTGTCAGTGCTGTTCCTCCTCCTCCTCCTCCTCCTCCTCCTCCTCGTCAGCAAGCCGGCAGTGATTTATCAGTGGACTGTCAGTGGTCTGTCCGTGGCCTGTCAGTGGTCTGCCTGTGGTCTCTCAGCGGTCTGTTTCTTGGTCCGTCAGTGGTCGGTCAGTGGACTGTCAGCTGTCTGCCAGATGTCTGTCAGAAGTCGGTCAGTGGTCTGTCCGTTGTCTGTCAGTGGTCTGTCAGTGGCCTGTCAGTGGTCTGTCAATGGTCTGTCAGTGGCCTGCCAGTGGTCTATCAGTGGCCGGTCCGTGGTCTGTCCGTGACATGTCAGTGGTTTGTCAGTGGTCTGTGAGTGTCTGTCAGTGTCTGTCAGGGGGAGGGGTCAAAGTTCGATGTATGGGTGGGACCACAGCGTTCTTCGACCTGACAGACACTGACAGACACTGACGGATCGCTGTCAGACCACTGACAGACCACTGACAGACAACTGACAGACCACTGACCGATCACTGACACATCATTGACAGACCACTGACGGCTCACTGACAGACTTCCCACAGAGCTTTGGCAGACGATTGACAGCGCTGACTGACGTCGAGGGTTGGCATCGCGCTCGAACGCGTGACCCGCTGCTTCAACGGTGCCTATCTTGCGAAGCCACATCGAACAATACGGTGTGTGTGTCATGGGTAACGTATAGTGGTGTAAAGTTTAATGCGAGGAATGAGGTTCGATATGCCCGTCGGCGTCGATGGCCGGGGTGGGAGGCGCTCTTGGGCCTGGGGTAGTAGTGGTGGTGAGGGTTCGGGATGTCCTGAGGACTGGTCCCTGAGGGGCGCCCTGGAGTGTCATTAGGGGGGCCCTGGGGGCGACCCTGGGTGGGCCCTGGTCCCACTTGGGTGGGTGGTCGTGAGCACGTTGTATATACGTGTGTGTATATATATATATATATCAGATACGCGCACTGCAAAAGCGCCCTCCACCTCATTTTCCTCCTCCTCCTCTTCGCCCCTCCTCCTCCTCCTCCTCCCTCCACAACTGATTCCCCACCACATGTGGATGGTAGGCAACTCCGAAGCAACTCCCTCCACAACTGACTTGGGGGTTAGGTAGTCCAGCGAACGGGCATATCTTGAGTCCAGGGAGGAAGGGAGCAGGAAGGAGGAGGAAACATGACCAGCGCGTTGGCTTGTTCGCGTTGCGCTGAGAGTTCCAAAACTGATCCTGGGAGGTTTCTTGCGGATTACTCCGAAGTCCAGAAGGATTTCTGTTGGATTCCTGATTGATGCTTCGGGTTTCTAGGGGTTCCCGGGGAGTGTTGAGGGTGCCTGAAGGATTCCTTCGGATTCCGGTCGGATTCCCGCTAGATGTCCGAAGTCTTTTCATGGATTATTGGCGGTTCTTGGAGGATGCGCGAGAATTTCTGAGTGTTCTTGAGGATTCTTGCTGCGGGCTCCTCATGATTCGTGAGGGACCCATAATGATCCCTGAATGGGGTCCTAGGGACTCCTGCCGATTCTCCAAGGATTCCTCAAGATTCCTGCACAATGCCTGAAGGATTCCTGAGGACTCCTGGCGGATTCCGAGTGGATGTTCAAAGATTCTTATCGAAAGGATTTCGGGTCATTCTTGGAGGATTCGTGAGGATTCCCGAGGATTCCTGCCACGTACTTCTGAAGATTCTTGAGGGACGTAGGGTAATCCTTGCAGGGTTCCTGACGACCCCTGCCAGTCCCTGAAGGATTCCGATTCCGGAAGAGTCTTGCCGGATGCTTGAAGGATTCGTGGGGCTTCCTGCGGGTTCCTGAACGATCCTTGTCGACTCTTGAAAAGTAGCTTCCTCCCACGCAAGAATGAATGTATTCTTGTTTGTTGCTTGCAAAAGGATGCCTGGAGGATTCCGCGGGATCACTGCGGATTCATGCTAGTTGCTGAAGGACCCGTGAATATTCCTACGGAAGAAACTAGGAAGAAACCGGCCAGGAAGCTCGAACGCGTGACTTCAGAGCCTCGGCCCCCGCTAGAGCAGCACATCATCTTCGGCCCTGAGGTTGCAGGTGACGTGCTCGAGGCGTCGGGCGTCGCGCCGTCTGCCTGAGGCCGCTGGGGCCCCTCACCGAGGAGGAGTCACAAATGAGCCCGAGCCAGGAGCTCAGGGCGAGGCTTGAACTCAGAACGCTTACTTGGGCGACTCAGCCTGACAAAACGTTGAAGGGGTCTTTTTCCAGAGCGAAGACAGTCTGTGGGAGTCTCAGGACCGAGGACGGAGGTGCGAGCACGGGTGGAGGTGCGGCATTTCTAGATTGCCCTTGAGCTGTGGGAAGTCCTGCGGGTTCCGAAGGATTCTTGAGGGTTGCAGCGGGTTCCTGCCAGTTTGCCTTGAAGATTTCTGAAAGATTCTTAAGGGTTATCGGGGTTCCTAAAAGATCCGTCGGATATCTCAGGATCCCAGACGACCCCTCAAAACTCCTGGAGAGTAGGGTTCCCGAAGGATTCCTGATTCAAGATTCCTGCAGGCTTGTTGCCGACTCCAACAGAGGATTCGTGAAGAGTCCTGAGGGGTTTTCTGAAGGACTCCTGTGAGCCATTGTGGGACCCCCTTTAATGAATTGCGTTTTGGCGCGAACCGAGATCGCCGGCGCCACCCCCCGTCGGGGAATCACTATTTTTGCGTAAACGATAAAACCCAGAGGGATCGATCATTGTTTCCCATGGTTGAGTGGAGGTCGCGTCACACAAAGTTAGACACTTGTGCACACACGCTCTTTGCCGCTCCGGCAAGCTGACGGCCCCGTAGCAAAGTCCTTCCACGGGACACGAACGATCGTGTCAAATTGCCCCCAGCACTGTGGACAGGCGCGGGGAACCGCAGACCGGCGCGCACGCGTTGGAATCTTACCCAGGCTGCAGATGAGTGACAAGCGGTGGGCCATCCTGCTGGCCTGCGGGGGGAGCGTTCTGCGCCCAGGCGTGGAAGAGGCGCGCCCGCAGTGGGGAGCGCGCGTGCAGGCGACAAGAAGGCCGGCAGGGAGCAGCCGTGCTGCAGGCGGGAGGTGGCCCCTGGGAGCATCCCGAGAGCCCGCGGTGCGGCAGCCTCGGGGCGCCGGACGCCCGTCTGCGGCGGGCCTCGAGAAGGAAGGTGGGCAGGCAGGGCGCGCCAGAAGAACCCGCAGCGTGCCGCACGTGTCGCGGCGGTCGCCGCGGGTCGTGGGGCACGAGGCTGAAACGCACGCGCAGAGAGCCCGCAGTGTTCGCCGCCGCACAGCGACAGAGGGAGCAGGAGAGGCGTGGGAGACAAGCCAGGTGCGCTCGCGTCGTATCTGACGTGCCACCACTTCCTCCCATCCCCTGCCACTGCGTAGAGCCCCTCCCCGTTCGCACAGTCGAATGTCGAAGAAGACAACGATCCCCATGCACAGCATGGCATGGCATTGCGTGTTCAAGCATTGCATATCATATTCATCACATTGCAGCGCAAGGTATGGTATCGCACAGGGGTGCATACCAAAGCATTGATGTCATGTTATTGCATGGCATGGCGCTGCGTAGCCCAGTCTTGCGTGTCACAGCATAGCAGAGCAAGGCATGGAGTCGCATACTAGCGGCACATTACATAGCATTGAATTGCACACCATGGTTGCATGAACGGTGCAGCCGGAAAACCAGGCTGGAGAACAGTCAATTTGAAGGTGAGCCTGGTATCACGGCCAGAGCACCGGAAGAGCCGAGAACGAGGAAATCAGGCCAGCGTTGAAGCGGAGCACCATTCGGAAGGATCGAAAATTCGGAAATGATACCAGCGCTGCAGCGGGAGCACCACTCGGAACGACCGAAAATGTGGAAATGGGGCCAGTGGTGCGGCGGGAACAACATATGAAACACCGAAAACGACCGGATTCGAAGAACATATGGGAAACATCATTTTTGAATTGTTGCTTGTGTGAAAACAGTGCGCGAAAAAAGTTGACCGCCTCCTGGACAGAGTTAGGGGAGAGAAGACAGTAGTATTCATAATGGGTACTTGTCCAGCTAGGCGCGCT